CTGACGTCAAATTTCCTTTTCTCGGCGGAGATCTCTTCTATAAAAGTTATTTATTTGTCATAGAATTTAGAATATTAGAGGGAAGTAATATTGACCAAATCCTTATAACTATTTTTAATTGTTTTATTTCTCTTTTTGTTTTATATATTTAGTTATTTATTTTTGGCATTGGAGCTCTTGTCAGTTCTCTGCTGGACCTTATAGTTTAAAGAAAAATCAAATTTTTCCTTGAATCCATTGAATTTATATGTTTCTGTTACTTAAGGGTTGAATCAATGGACAAAACAGGCGATTCACAGTAGTGCGTCTCCAAGAGTTTGCAACGCGTTGACCAATCAATGCGCGAAATCTGTCGACCATTTCCAAACGCGCACTGGGTCTACAGATTTCGCGCAATTTGATTGGCCAGTGCGTTGCAAACTCTTGGAAGCGCCCTTTTAAATCCAGTGGATTGTACTATTTTCCCTTTTAATGCGAAGATTTGTTCTACATACAATTTTTTTTGTGTATGTACATATATATAGGCCTATATAAATTTCTTAGTGTTTTAACATAACACAACATTTGTTATGATTTTCATCTGATTTTATTTTATTTATTTTATTTTTTTTACTGATGTTTCCATTCCTCTCCACTGTTGGTTGTATGTTGAGGAGCTCAGTGATTTTATTGAAGTTATTTGCCGAGGAGCTGTCATCGAGTGGATAAAGTCACCGCCTAGGGCTTTTCAGGGAATTTGTTGCCGGAAATGCTCCACGCTTTGCATGAGGATGATGTTTCTGTCCTGTGTTCACAAGGGAACAACATTATTCCCCAGGAAATTTGTATCCATCTACACACCCATGGGGACTTGAATTCGTGGAATAGCCGAACATTGTCGGTCCCAAGCAAGGCAAACGGTTTCATCTGGGCCGAATTCTCAACGTGGTTCGCATTAAAAGATCTCCGGTGGGTGAAAACAACGGATTATGAACTGGAACCTTCCCCAAAATAAAGACTGGTGCAGAAGGATGCACACTCTGCATCATTTCCTATGTGATTATTCAGAGATAATATTGGCGAATATCGTAGTCTCGCGTCAGCCGTCGCCCAAATAGGGATCCCGAGGGTGGCATGAGTGACAAGTTGGCCTGCGCCTGTTTATATCACTTTAGATGTGCAGAAAACATTCTTGCTGTAAACATGAGCATTCGGACATTTTACAAATTTCAAATGTTTATTAGATTGGCCCAGTTTTACACATAGGAATCTTGTTCACGGTGTTTAAAGACGCTGCAATTTTTGACTGGGGTTGTGCAAAAAGCTGTATAGAGATATCATTATTCCTGGGTGCAAGGCCACCTCCCAAGAGTTTTTTTTTCAATTTAAAACAAGGAGAGAAATGTGAATTTTCTTTCTTTCCAAAGGGTGTAAAACGTCCCGAAATATTGTAGCCTCACCTTCAGAAGGCTATACAAGGTTACATGAAAAATTGCAAGGTTTCTGCCTCCAACAGCCCCCCCCCCAAAAAAAAAATCGGTTCTGGATCGGCCCTTGCCTGCGTGGGTCAACAGAAAGCAAAGCTTTAAGTCCTCGCTGCGCTAAAAGGCGAGATGTCTATGTACATGTATGTTACCCGTACTCGTTTACAATTTCCAACCCCATCCACGCCACGTCATGCACGTCTTATTGGGTGGTGTTTGTATTCGTTCACGTGTTGTAATACTGCGGTGTTCCGTCAAAGTCGTAGTTTTGCAGTATTCTTTGTTCACGGTCGCCCTTTTTGATTTTTACTCGCATTTGACTTGGAGTTCCAATCTAAGTCAAAGAGATGGGTCTGCAGAACCAGTTGTTTTGGGGGTTTTGTTTTGGGGGTGGACACTGGGGGGGGGAAGAAGTAGTGGATTTTTCTATACAACCTGTACAGCGTCTATACAACCATACAGCGTCCCTTTAAAGTGTTTAGTTATCACCTTTCAACTTTAAGGAAGTTTCTCAGCCATGGATGAAGGAGAATTCTCCAGACAGATTGCAAACGATAGTTGTCTGTACACGCAACCGTTTTGGCGTACAAACAGCGTGATCACCTGTTTTACTCTATTTGCGAACCACTTTTTTGGATACTAAAAATTGGATTTGTTTGTGATCCAGTTCTTCGATGATTTTCAGAATTATGCGGATTTCCAGAATTATACACACGAAGAACATTTTGTTCCTGGTTTTGACTTCACTGCACGATGACTAGCATTTGTAATCCCAATTAAGTAGGAAAAAACAGAGCAGTTGGCCACACCAGTGCACCTGTTTCATTGCATGTAGTTGTGCACTGATACTTTCCCACGTCAAACTTGGAGGACAATTCCAACTCAAGTAAAATGAATTCATGATTATATCAATCATTTACTTCCCGTATCGAATCCAAACGAGTGATTTGAACTGAACAAAATATACATGTACATGTATCTACCGGCCAAGGTTGCCTGTTTCACGAGCACGCCCATGATTCTTATCAATTACCCAAGGGTAACGACGGGCTCAGAAAATGTATTTGCCTTTCAAAATGTGAAGAACTAAAAATAATATGATTAGTTTTAAAAATCATTAGGCACATTAATAATAGCCATTTCAGGATTTCTTATCAATTGTTCATGTACGTAAACAATTTCAGAACTCATATGATTTACATGGTGATTTAAATCAGTGATTTAAATTGGCCAACCCTGATGGGCGGGATTGCTTAAGTCCGATTGCGCAGCTTGGTATTGATGTCGCGTTGGATAAGATATTAAGATGAATCACGTAAGGCAAACCGTACCATCAAGTTACATAAAAACAGAGTAATATTTCCATCGCTACGATGACTTTTGTGCAGTCATCACATGGCTGTCAGCAGATTTCTCGGCTGATTTGTTTGGAACTGGCAGTAATGACTTTTCCATGAGCATTTGTGACACGCAATAGGTGTCCAGGGATTCCCCCCTCCCAAAGTTCGAGTTGGAGGTGATCCTTGCCCTCAAAGTCCGTGTTTGCACTCCCACACCAAAAAGTTCGCCATACATTTTGCGCACATTTTTACATTGTGTGCCTTAGTCTCGATTAAAGTCAAGTAATGACTTAAACTTTAACTGTTGGAGTTGATCACGTACAAAAAGGCGATTTCCCCAGATCCAGGTAGTCAATTTAAGGGACAATTACAATATTTACTGTTGTTGATAATTTAAATTAATCACATGATATTGCAGTGGAGTCCAGATATCTGTTTTAAGTACAATGATTTCCATAATTCCCTCAGCTGAATCACGACGGTATGAACGTGTTTTTTTCCGGCCTCATTCTAATTCCCGACCATAAAAGTAAATGTGATCTTTGCCAAAGGGCGCTGGTGGGGTATTTTTTTTTTCAAATTTTGCGATGCGGCCAAAAACGTACAGTGACACCGTATGCAGTTGGCACATTGTCGTTTGTCTTGTTGGTGTTGTCACTGTCGATCGTTGTTGCTGTCGTGCGCTGTTGTTTGCTGTTTACTGTTGTTTCTTGTTATCGTCGCTGTTGTTGTTACTGTTGATGCTGCTGTGTGCCGTGGCATAGCGAAGGCATTTTCGGGGGGGGGGCGGGTGCCAACCGATTTGGCGACTTGTAACTTGTTCGCCAACCTCGTGTCGTGTAAATTTAACAAAGTACGGAAAATGGAAATCCCTGGTACGCTACATTTCACGCTTCAGGAGAAATGCCGACGGCCAACGTATATTATTTATGTACCAATTATACCAATAGAATTAATTATTGGGGGTTGCTGCACCCCCCCACACACACACCCCGGTCGCTACGCTCGTGGCTGTTGCTGCTGCTACTTCTGAAGTGGCTGGTCTTACTGTTGCTCTGGACGTTGTTGCTACGTGTTGCTGCTGCTAGTGTCGTTGCTACATGTTGCTGCTGACGTTGTTGCTACATGTTGCTACTGACGTTGTTGCTACGTGTTGCTGCTGACGTTGTTGCTACGTGTTGCTGCTGACGTTGTTGCTACGTGTTGCTGCTGCTAGTGTCGTTGCTACGTGTTGCTGCTGACGTTGTTGCTACGTGTTGCTGCTGACGTTGTTGCTACGCGTTGCTGCTGCAGGCGTTGTTGCTACGTGTTGCTGCTAGTGTTGTTGCTACGTGTTGCTGCTGACGTTGTTGCTACGAGTTGCTGCTGCAGGCGTTGTTGCTACGGTTGTTGCTGACGTTGTTGCCAGTTACCACGGGTTGCTGCTTTTGCCGTTGTTGTTCATGTTGTAGCTCTTGACTGACAAGCAATGAATTGAAAAACTGAAGGGTTCAGTTGATTCTGATCTTTCAATACAAAAATCGTGAAGGGGCTTGACTATAAAAAAAAGCGGGAAGCGTTTTCCCTTTCCACTTAAGCAAGGATAAAATATGTAAATATAATTCAGTTCGGTTCAGGCCGGACCAGACGTCGTCTAATACCGGTTTCCGTAAGGATTTGTATGTAGCTGTGTGTATGTAACATGTCTAAGCCGCTCATCAGTTCATCTGATGTCCTTTTTAGTAAATTGACTTATTTTGAAAGAACATGAGTTGTGACATGTTTTAACCTCCCTGGTGCAAAGGCTGAAATAACAAAAGGAAAACGGGGTGATAGATTGTGCACACATTTCTTAAAGTGTACAAAACCGTGTTGATACAGCTGATGTGATGTCGGCTGTTGGTTATCGCCCGTGTTATCTGTCACTTATTAAGAAAAATGAGGCGAGCTCGTGAAATCTGCCAGAGATCTGGAATTTACTTAAGATGGAGCTTCAACTTTTCTAACGTTTGCTGTGTCCGAGTCCGACTTTGTGTAAAAACAGAAAACAGGGCTCGAACAAACTCAACTAAATGTCAGGCTTCGTCGCCCTGTTTGATAAATGACACCAGTGTGTTCAGTTTAACGTCTCTCGGAATAGGTACTAGAGATTTTTAAAATGTTCTCAGTTTGAGGTCTGATATTAAATTGTCCATGTTTTGTTGTTTCGCTTCAACAGTTAAGACGCCGGAGTTCAACACAACGTCAGGCCAGCAGTCACCGAGTGCTAGCGGCGGGGGTGTCAGCAGCCTGGGAGGCGGCGCTAACAACGGCCGGACCAACTTCACCAACAAGCAGCTGACGGAGCTGGAGAAGGAGTTCCACTTCAACAAGTACCTGACGCGGGCCCGGCGGGTGGAGATCGCCGCCATGCTCGGACTGAACGAGACCCAGGTCAAGATCTGGTTCCAGAACCGGCGGATGAAGGAGAAGAAGAAGATGAAGGAATGTATCCCGGGCCCCAAACCTTCGTTCCATTCGTCTCTCTCCCACCACCATCATCACTTGCATCACCATCAGCAGCAGCAGCAACAACAACAACAACAGCAACAGCACAACGTGCATTCCTCTGTGCCGAGCGGCACGCCGGCAACAGTGATACCGGACTGTGAACACAAATCACCGCCCGTCTACAATGGCCACAATCCCAACGGGGCAGGGGTGGCAGTGAATTCATCAGGGAGTTAGTTTTGCAACAGTTTCAAGATTTGGGGGGGGAGTTTTTCTTTTAGGTTATTTATTTCAGTTTTTTTTTTTATTTTGCAATCGGTCGGACGAAGTGCCTCGAGCCCCGATTCGGCGTGAAAGGCGTCCAAGGCAAAGGGACAAGTCTTTTCATGTAAAGTGCCGGGGCAATTCTCAGTCTCACACAAATAGAGAGAGGGAGAGACTGTGCCGCCGCCGCGCCGTTGCTGCAATTTAAATCTCATTTTGACTTTCATGCCGAGGTTTGTTCTCGCTTGGTGGTGGAAGCCAACCCGTTGGCCCCGCTCTGTCGTCTAGTACAAAACAAGCCACAACACCCCCAAAAAATAAAGTTATTACCTTATGTATTGAAGTCAAAGAGGGACAGAATTGAGCCCCTCGGGCTATTCCCCTGGCAAGGGCACGTATGATTCGGGTTTTTTTTTTCAGAATCACAGACCATGGACACGAAGTCGATTTGGTCTGACAAAAAGCCGCAGTGAGTCCACAAAGGCCGCTAAATAGGTTCTCATACGTCCCCAACTCAGGGGTTTTGTCTTGCTGAGAATTATATGCCTGAATATATACACCTGCCTCAATTCAGTGAGGGACTCGCCGACTGTGCACCCAGGCGCCGACCGTACAAAGGGTCTCAATCTGGACTGGAATTCTCTCTCTCTCTTTTTCACCAGGTCGCGTCGTGTGTTGGTTCGAGGAGATGAAATCCCGGTTTGTTTGGGTCGGATCGACCGCACTGATCCCGGCACTTTGACTGCGTGCACGGGACGGCTCGAGCCGAGATTTGGCGCTAAAGCCCCGATTGTCATACACTGCTCAGATTCGCTCTGTGCTGGATTAATAATCCCCTTGATATAACTCGCCTGTAGGTTTTTTGCGTGTTACTTAGTGCGGACAAATTGAACATGAAAGCGGCTTAATATGCTAACCGCGCGTGTAATATTTGGTCTGTCGGGTATCTCAATGGTTGCCGTAATGGGATAAATTAAAAGATAATACTGTAGCCTTTTTTGGCTCTTACTTGTCTTGTCTGGCCGGTGATGCGCGCAGGCATTTAATCTTGCAAGCCGCAGAAATCAAACCAGCCACGGACAAGCAACAAAAAATCCCGACTGGATAAATGGCACACATTGGTAGTCCCTGATGCTGGAGCATGAATCATAAGTCGGGTTACCGGCCACGTCTCGTGTTGAGGCCCGCTTCTCAGTTGTTTGATCTGCCGACGCTTCGCTGCTCTTATCGAGCTTGGCGAAGCGGGCGATGATGACGAAATTCTTGTTTTTCAAATCAACCTTGTCATTTGCAAGGACATGAGCTTGAATATAATTAACGCATTTTCCCCTCGGGTGCACATGTGGCATGAGAGGAGGCCTAGGATACCATCCGACGCGTTGTTCATAGAAGGCGCCCCCAAGGTTACAATGGTCCCCTCCTTCTATTAATAGGGCTTATGTATTCCAAAACAAGCAAATAAAAGTTCTCATATGCTTCTGGATCCTCCCACGAATATTGTACGGTTGAATGTAGTGTCCTATCACAAAAAGTTAAATATACAAATCTTTTTAGGAACCATGAAAAGACAAATAAAACTAAGCGAAAAACAGCAAAACAAAACCAGGCGATAAATAGTATTTACATAAGATGTACATGTAATCTGGCGGTATTTACGCCTTCTCGTCCCAGGTATAGATTCCGAATCATACTACTGCCCTCTGTTGGCTTCAAAGTCGACAGACCCTGAGCAAACCTGGCATGGGTCACTGTGAAGTACATGAAGCGAGCACGAGGCCACTTGAAATCGAGCAATGATTGACGCAATTATAGTATTAACAAGAGATGTATGCTCTCTCTCTACTCATGTCCATAAAAATCCATGAAATACTCTTTTTCCCGGTTATAGCTTTCTCATGTTTGGGTCTTTTACCCAACTCGCAATTTTGGGAAAGTTTTTCGTTTGCGCAGATTGTATTTTGGGGTTGTTTTTTCCTTTAATACAAGGAAGTGTGTTTGTCACGTTTGACGGAGTATATTGTACTTTCTGAAGTCAGTTGACAAACATCATAAGATGTTGTCACCTTTCTACGGTGAACTTGGACATATAGCATAAGTTTCCAGATGAGATTCGAATCCGTGATCTCTGGAACATGTGCGTCACTTTGTCAACGTATGGTTGACTGAATAATGCACGATAATGTGGCCGTGATTCCGTTAGCAAAGGATAGATTGAGGAAAGCCATCTCTCTGTTTTGCTTTTTTTTTAAGTTGCCAGAAGATGTCATTAGATACCAAACGCATAGCACTGTCTGAAATATGTGAGCATTTTTGTGAAAATACCAAGGTCACCATTTACAGACTTCACTTGCATTTTGGGATGAAATCTTAAGGTTCGATATGGAATGACGAGTCCCCTTTGATAAAAGGCGGTCACCCATCGGCCCCCAATTTTGTGCAGTGCAGTTTTTTAATAGCCTTTATTCAACACAGGTCGTAGTCAGAACAGTCTTTCACAAATCCATTGGTGGTATATTTCCCCTTTTTGGTGTACCCTTGTAGTCTGCCCCTGCAGAACAAATACTGGCTAAACAATTAAGAAAATCGCACCTTAAGAGGAAAGTCTTTGAAGTCGTTTATCAACGCTGAAACCTAATTTGTCATTTAGTGTTGTAAATGCTGTATTGTGCCAAGAGGGAAAAGCTGCTTCAAACACATCATTTTCTTAGTTGCACCTTATTTATAAAAAAAAATTATACTGGGAGAAATTCCCTTGCGTTGGTTGATTTCAGTTTTAGTTTTCTTTCAAAAGGCTTCGGGCATTTTACTCAGCTCGCTTCTTATTTCCGCGTGAAGCTTTCTTTGCTTTTCTTTTTACCTAACATTACAGTTGTAAAAAGGTGATGCTAGAATCTGGAATCGCCTTTATTTCAATGGACGAGCGGCCCACTATTTCTGCTTTACTCGCTTTATTGATTGTATCTAGCCCGTATGACAATCAGTATAGACATTTTGAATGTGGCCGTCGTGAATACACCCTTCAGAGAATGTGATACGAGCTCAATATATGATTCAATGGCTAAACAATTACTGATAAAAAACGAAACGAGTTTCATGACTTTATACTGTATGAATCTTTATGTAAGGGTTTTCTGATTTCCATTTGATTGTATTCACTTTTGTACAACAGTGTTGAAAAAAGGCTAATGCTAGCCTTCTAAACACCTGGGAAATCCCTTCATGTGTTAATTGCGACTTTCCGAAGGCGTGGGCGGTTGACATCTCGACTAACCTCGGGCAGTAAATCAAGCAACATTTTAGATATTTTAGGGTAAGGACAGTACAAACAGCGTGCTATTGCTGATACCATTTCAAATTTTAGTCGGTGTTCTCTTCAGAAAGAGCTCGGCAGAACTTTAGTTTGTCGCTACCTTTTTGCTTGCCCGTTTATTTGGGGTTGGGGCCGTAAAGTGATGTCTAGTGCCCTTTCCCACTTGGCCCAAAACCATCTTTACTCATCTTTCGGCCGAATTAAAATCGTCCAATTTTTGTTCTCCCGATCCCTGGATCTAAACCAGAAGCTGTAGTTGAGATGGGGTCACCGTTCGTGTGATCCGGGTCGGTGCCTTTAAGAACCAGGGCACCTCAAATTTGATGCTACGGGTGCTGAATTTGAAAACTGAGACCCAGTAAATGTCATACAACTCTGGCAAATCGAAAGAACGGTGCCTTTGTGATGTCCAAATAAAGGGTTGAATCAAGTCACACTCAGCTGTGAAGGAATGAAACTTTCAAATTCTGATGATACTACTGATAACGAAAAATCACGGCAGTTTAAATCTGATTTCTCCCACTTTCAAAATATGTACTCTCAAAAATCAAAAGCAAGGTAACACGCTTTGACAGTTATATCTGATAACCATACGGTCATTCATTATGTGCTGAGGTGTTGGGCTGCCAAATTAAGTAATCAAGTTTGTGTATGTAAATATCAATACATTGAGGAGGTGCATGCACCGCTTACAAATTCGGTTCTATTGTCTTATTTATTTATTTATTTATGACAATGAAAAATGTATGCCGTGTTTTCTTTGATACCGGTACATTTTATGCCTTGATTTTTTTTATGTTGAAATGAAGGAAAAAACAAAATCCAAGTGACAGTTCGTTTTGAAATGCACGAGTTTGTCTGATTTGTATTATTTATGAATGATGGCTTGATGTGTAAATACTGATTATTGAAGGGAATCTCTTAATATTAACATAATTAAAATATTCAACTGAATCGAGTTGTTTATTTCTCACGTCTGTGTTTTTGGTGTTGGTCACAGTCGGTGTTGTTTTGCCTTCAACCGGTCACAATCCTCAGCCCGCCCTCCGTCCCGCCTTTGCATCGACCCACCAAAATAAAAGTGACCGTTATCATTGATCGATTGATCGGTTTATCGATGAAACTGATTGATTTAAAGTGGATGTAAAAAGGCTCCATCCCGTGGGGTATGAAGTTAAACGCTGAGGGACACTGCATAACCGACTAGAGTGTGCCCAAAAGTTCGAATTCTTGCAAGAATTGGTGGAACTTGTTGACGCGCCGCCCATAATAAACAATTATTTTCACCATTTGGAACGCCACTGTCAACCTTTTTTCCCCAAAAAGCAAGAGAAATACGAACAACAGTTTGCTCTCCCCGACTTTACGATGTGAGGAAATCTGTGTGCCTTGCAAGCAGTAATTTAATGACGATTTTTTGTGGCAATCTTTACAAGCTAACACTTGCTTTCTAATCTTTTAATCATTCAGTCTGGCACTCCATGGCACTAATGCAATGTTAAAAGTGAAATTAATTCTCCAAATGAAATGAAAGTGTAGTTGAAACAGCCAATGAACTTTACCAGCCTCGCTTAAGGGGAAAATATATTAGTTAGAATTTTAACCCTTTCCTCTAAAAGGAAGCCGCTGGTTTAAAACAAATAGTCTGTACCTGCTGACAAATGACGGAGCGTGTTTAAAGAAAAAGGAAAAGTTGGACAATGTTTGGGAATATTTAATGAGCCAGTTTGGTATTCCCACAGCGCATGCCCAACATGAAGCGCGTCCGAGGTCATTCGGAAGTGCGTGCGAGGTCTGCCCAATTTGAACCGCCCACGCAGACTCGCGTGCATACTTTGTTCCCGAATGATTTCGCTCTTTTGAAGCACCGAACGGGAGTAATAATGAGCAGATTTGTCGTAATATACCATGATAACTGAACACTGAAAATACTTAATGTTAGTAGAGGCCTTTCAACGAATCCTTCCCACAAGAAATTAATCGATTAAATCACGCAAAATTATTTTCCATAGTCATCTCAATCATCTACGGCCCTGATTTCCTCCCTATCTTGTAATACAATTTCCGACACCACCTCACCCCTTTCCAAATTAACTAACTCCATAGATTCTTCGGTTGAATTAACAGATTCTAAGTCACTTTACCTGTTGGGGCTGTTCTTAAATACCATTCACCAATACTTGCAGCGAGTTCAGCAATTAAATATGCTCACATGTTGTTCAACCAATTTTTGCAGTAGAGCTAAGTTCAGTGACTGATATGCCTAGAAATGTTGGACAAAGAAGGAATAGACAAAAGTTGAGAAAGGAACAAATCCACATTTAAGAAATGTTGAACATGTATGTTTCTCACTGCCAAAATGTGTAGGGGAGGGTCCAATCCCCACCCCCACCCCCGCCCCCCAAAAACCAAGGGGGTGTCAAGCTCTGCACCCCAATCCCCTCGACTGAAGCCCAAGGAGTAAATGATTAAGAATTTCTTTTTTAAATAACACATGGACGTGATTATTCAATAGCATCTTGAGATACTCAGTTTCTGGTCTCAGTGAGCAGATTCTTGGATGACGACAGCTAGTTAGAAATCATCCCCGCTTACCTTTAATTGTGAACAAAGGAGAGCAATCATGTCAAAAAACTGGGAAGACAACAAACAAGAAACGCACAAAAAGCCAGCATATGACCAAAATTTACCCCTAAAATAGCCCAGGATGAGCTAGCCCACCCCCACACTTCCCGGTTGCACCACGGAGTACCGGGATGTTAAGCTATATATTAGAGCCAGTATAAGTTTAAGATGAACATGTTCAAAGTGTCTTCGTTTTTCAGAGAAAAATCACACATTTTCTGACGACATTTAAAAGCTTTGCAATATGAGTTAGGTCGGACATCACAATTTGTCAGCGGTTAAAATCAACGGGAATCCAAACTGAAAACAATAAAAAGTTTTTTGCTTCATCACGGAAACAAGGAAAATATCCCCCACCCTTGGTGACGTCTTCAGCTAAATACTGAAAGTATGCTACCCGGGGTTTGGCTTACATCTGTTGCTCAAGGTTAGTGCTTTATCAGTTTTCAAGTAACAAAACATACTGAAGCAGTAACCTTGTGCATGTTGTCCAAGTACTGAGGGACATCTGTTTGTGACGGCCCGCTTCGAAAACATTCCGAACCACATTTTAATTGTATATGTGTGAAAATTTTCTGCGAACGACATCAAGGCAGCTGATTGGTTGCTGGTTTGTCAGCTGCCTCTCTCCGTCAATTATACGTCCACCGGCCGGTCACATTCAGGAAGCCAAAATACGAACCAATGTTATGCATAATTCAATAACCGCCGAATCTGAACTCGTTATCTTCAACTGTTCGAATGGTATCATACCTTTTAAGCCACAGTTTGTCAATATAACACCCCCCCCCAAGATCTGATATTCCAAAACGTTCATTTGTTTTACATTAAAATATTAACTATGCCCACGTATTTAGTACATTAAGCCATTTCGATCGGTGTTTCTCCTTGAGGAAATTTGGAAAGATTCCCTTTGAGGAGATACTGCCGCGTTGAAACCTAGGGCGTCCAACTTGTTTGACTCTCAGGTCCCGTAAGTTGGCAAGCAGCTGGTTTCAGCTTTCTGACTTCTTATCAAACCACAAACAGACTTTTTAGATTATAAAGCACCGGCACATTATGTCTGTGGGGCACAGATTTGCAATAGTCAAAAACAAAAATGCTCAACGCCAATCTACTTCCCCCTCCAAACCAAGTCTAGATGTCACCGGAACAAGAAATCAACTCCAATTTAAGTGCGTTTGACGGGCCACAATAATTGAAGTAGAGATTACATCATGCTACCTGAAAATTGTTTTTGACATTTCGCCTTTTGGTGTTGATTTTGTTTGGGGTATATCCCCGATTACTTTCCACACAAAAAAGACATGGCCCATTCTGTACAAATCCATATACGGGAAGCAGCGATCGTCTGTTAATACGAACGCATACACACACCCACACACACAAATTATTTCATGCTATGGTTTTTAAGCGTCGGCCAGTTTGCTTAGTTCATGAGTGAAAGCGACTTACACTTCGTCCATAACTGTGCATGGATTCAAGATGAAGATATTCATAAATAATGTGGTTTTATAATGTCATAATGTGAAGAAAAAGTCGAGCAATAAAAAGAAACACCGCTAGGTTTCCCCTGTACTGGCTGGTATCATTTCGTATTTTTTTTTTTAAATCAAGTTCACACCTCTACAACTTTTTGTTTTGAGCAGAGGATGGAAAGCAACAACTCCACCACTCGTAGCGATATTAGGGAGATGGTTCTTTGCAAATGACGCCCCATCAGTGACTCAGTAACAGACGCTTGGATTCTCTGCAAATCTCCACGCCCGTTCTCCCTGGCGTTCGCAGCTCTAGGGAACCCTCTGTGTTTTTTTTCTGCAGGCTTGTCGTTTGCCCTACTTTGGGAACCCTTGTCCAGTGTTCACCCGTCATGACCCCTTTCGGGAGACCCCCCGAAGCTATTGATGGATGACCATTTCCTCCTGCCGACCCCTATTTCACACCATCCTGTTTCTTTTAATTTTCAGTTTCTTGCATGAGGTGTCGGGAGTTGGAAAAATTTTTCCATCACGTGTAGCAGTGAGGTTGGTGAGCATCCCAACCACTCACGAACCCAATTCCCACGCAGCCTAGTGCGACGAGAGAACCCAGTCAGCGCCTTGTAGGAAATGAGTCCACCGCCCCCAACAAACTAGATTTTATTTCTTAGCCCTGTCTCTCCATTAAAAGCAAAATTCCTCTTTTAAATTAAAGCCTGCTGGACAGAAATACACTGTTTAAACTTAAGGCTAGACATGAAACCCGCAAAGTAGTATCAAGATACCCAGTTTCTGGTCGAAAAGTGACAGTGGTTCGATAAAGGAATCAACCAAATATGTTTCAAGAAAGACTTGCTAAAATCTGCTCTGTAGCGGAACTTCGTTTTTACGAAGTGCGAGGAGTGTGACAGTTTTCCTCTACAAACTTCGAAAAAGAAAAAGAGATTGGAACCTTTTCAAATGGACTTCCAAACGCACATGAGTTATAGCCACTCGTGTCACACCGCCGGAACTTAAGAATGATCGGGTTATTCCTGTTTGCCCATGTAGGTGTCCTGCTCAGAGTGCACTAACCTCGTGGCTGAATTTCAACCCATTTTTCCCAACAGTTTCAGGGGAAATGTTGTAATTCTCGATTTCCATCTCGCGTCGAACTCAGCGTCGTTTCTTGAGCTTTAACTGCCGGGTGCTTGGAGCTGTCAACGGTTGTTGTGGCTGCATGGTGTGTTTTTTTAGAGGGGAGACTCCGTCGGGGACCCAATCAGCCGGCATCAGTCCCAGCCAAGACCACTCCCGCGGTAATTGGCCCTAAACGGTTACACCTTTTGTTTTTGGAGAGCACATCCGAGCAGGAAATACAGTTTGACTCGTTTTGGCTGGATTTCTCACGGAATTGTTTCAAGGCGGCATGTGAAGTTCGTTTGCTTTTTTCCAACAAAGTGTCTATGTTAACTTGGTCTGCCCGCTTGACCTTGTAAGATTTGCCTCTGACCTTATAGCAGCAAAGAGGACAAGCCAATTTTTAGGGCCTCCCTGTTACTGGTCCTGACAGAAAAGTAAACTTTGACATTTTTGGTGGGAATTGAACCGGAATCCTATGCGGTTGCGAACAATTTCAACAAACTTCGTGACATTCTAGCGCCGGTCTTGTACCAAACACGTCTTTGCAATGTTACATTTTGACATTCAAAGATTAACCTGTTGCCACCGCCAACGACTGCTAAATAATCTTTCATGAAATTTAGGTAATGAAGAACATGTACCTTTGTGTCTTCATTTCCACACAGCTTATTCCATTACAATGCGAAATCACTCTTTGAGTAAATGTCATGAAATGAGAAAACGGATGAG